GAGATGAAGTAGAATCTCGGGAAGGCCAGACGCTTGGTGTCCAGGTATTCTGCCAGAGCTTTTTCACAGAGAGATAGTCTGTAGAGACATAAACAGTCAGTCTATTTGTGAGACCGCCCCRGATAACAMARYAAGAAGAAACAGAAAGACGACTCACCTGCTCTGCATGTCCTCAAGCGTAGGAAGGAGCCCTGGTTTATTGGTGGCCTCCACTACGTTTGGAGTTTGATGCAATGCGTTTGCCAGTTCTTTGAAATTGGTGTCAATTCCGTCGAAGCGGCTGGAGTCCTGAAGAGGATTTCACAAGGGAACACAGTCAGGGGATTAGGGTTCCCACAAGAGAGACGGGAGAATCACAGGTTTAATGGCAAACATCTGGGTTAAGCACAGCCCGAACATCAGGGGAGCAATTAAAAAAGTTGTGTAATCTCAGATCTTAAACTGAGAGTATGGGCTAATTAATGCATTCCTAATTAACAGCTATAACAGTCATGCTATCTGGGTTCATATGGCAACAACAAGGGTGCAGCCCTGTATGAATATGAGCTTGTCAATGATGTGTACCTGAAATATAGAGCTGTAATTGTGTGTGTGTGTGTGTGTGTGTGTGTGTGTGTGTGTGTGTGTGTGTGCATATGTATCCATCTAATCAGACTGTGGTTGAGTTGTTTGTAACCTCAGGCAGCTGTGAGCGTATGTCCTCAGAGCCAATGAAGATGCTCTCTAGATGGGTCCACGTCCGCTGAACCTCGAACCACATGGAGATGACAGAGTCTGCAACAGACAGTTTGCTCTGCCACGACGACACCTCATCCAGGAAGTGCCCAATGTACTTGGACGTCATGAGGTTCTGCAGCTGGACCTGGTTGTCCTCCAGCGTCTCAATGAGCTCCTCGTCCGTGCGCAGCAGAGGCACCTGGGTGCGGTGGTGGGGCTCGTACTGGAACTCCATACCTGTGTGTGATCGATAAAGTCAGTGGACTGGTCACAAATTCTGGAAAGCAAGATGAAAAACTCGTGTGGTAAAACTTCACGTACCTGTCCATGTGGTGTCGAGCTCTGAGAGGACTTTCTCCATCCCCATCTCTTTAACAGCCTTATCCACGATTCCTCTCACCTCCTCTTCAAAGCAGTGCAGGTCGAGCTTCAGCAGGTCGGCCAGAGTGGTGTCCTGCTCACAGAAGACAAAATCAGTACTTTACCCAGACTTCAGATGAGCTGCATTACATTTCATAATAATATTTGGAACATGTGACAGGTGAGCACAGGCTGTGATTGCTGGTTTCAGTTAACAAGGGACAAGCACCCATGACTGACGATCATCAACAAACTGCAGATCTGCAGTTTCCATCTATCTCTGTCACCAACAAACAAGAAACTAAAATGCTCACTTGCACCACCTGCAGGCAATGACAATAACTAAGGAGCGTTACCCAAA